GATGGATGAGGTCACAAGGGATATACAAGGAGATATCCCATGGTGTATGCTCTTTGCGGATGATGTGGTGCTAGTTGACGATAGTCGGACGGGGGTAAATGGGAAGTTAGAGTTATGAGACAAACCTTGGAATTGAAAGGGTTTAGGCTTAGTAGAACTAAAACCGAGTACATGATGTGCGGTTTCAATACTACTAGGTGTGAGGAGGAGGAGGTTAGCCTTGATGGCCAGGTGGTACCTCGGAAGGACACATTTCGGTATTTGGGGTCAATGTTGCAGGAGGATGGGGGTATTGATGAAGATGTAAACCATCGAATCAAAGCCGGATGGATGAAGTGGCGCCAAGCTTCTGGCATTCTCTGTGACAAGAGAGTGCCACAAAAGCTAAAAGGCAAGTTCTACAGGACGGCGGTTCGACCCGCAATGTTGTATGGCGCAGAGTGTTGGCCGACTAAAAGGCGACATGTTCAACAGTTAGGTGTGGCGGAGATGCGTATGTTGAGATGGATGTGTGGCCACACGAGGAAGGATCGAGTCCGGAATGATGATATACGAGATAGTTGGGGTAGCACCAATTGAGGAGAAGCTTGTCCAACATCGTCTGAGATGGTTTGGGCATATTCAGCGCAGGCCTCCAGAAGCTCCAGTGCATAGCGGACGGCTAAGCGTGCGGAGAATGTCAAGAGAGGGCGGGGTCGACCGAATTTGACATGGGAGGAGTCCGTTAAGAGAGACCTGAAGGATTGGAGTATCGACAAAGGGCTAGCTATGGACAGGGGTGCGTGGAAGCTTGCTATCCATGTGCCAGAGCCATGAGTTGGTTGCGAGATCTTATGGGTTTCACCTCTAGCCTACCCCAACTTGTTTGGGACTAAAGGCTTTGTTGTTGTTGTTGTTGTTGTATGTATATAATCACAACAAAGAGCCTTCCTAGGTGATTGCTGGGTGGACTTCTACTAGTACTTGAGCCACCAGGTCTCGGGTTCGACTCTCTACTTCGCACCTTTTTTGCCGAGATTAAAAAAGAAGGCAACCCAAGCGAAAGAGGCAGACCAAGCGGGGATCATGAGAGGTGCTACGATCGCCCGAAAAACAGGAGCTGCTGGATCAGGACGTGCTCCAAATCCGCGTCTTGAGAGTGTCGTCGTAGCATGAAGAGTCTTCAAAACCTGTCGAGTCGCCAAAGAGGATAAAGAAGAGATGGCACATCAGAGGAAGACACCACATCAACAGAAGATACAAGAGAAGTATCAAGAGAAGATGGGTTGTCCAAAGAAGATGGCACATCAAAAGAATGAAGCATTGATTAAAGAATCATGGCCCATGAAAACCGACGGCGAAAGAAGCTCGACGGCAAGAGAACGGGCTTAGATCAACAATGCAAAGAGAGGCCACAGAAATCCTATACAGAGGACAATGACCAGAAAAAGACTGACTGACATAAGTATGGTGGACTCACATGACATGAGAAAACACAAAATATCAACGGATTTGGTGGACGCAGCGGAAATCATAGAAAACTAGGAAGCTAAAAAAACACATGAAGTAGATACGGTGGCAGCAAAAGAAAAAATCATGGTGCCGAGGGCCAAGACCAAGCAGAGCTCCCGTATTGCGCTCCTGACTGTGAAGAGGGCCAAGCAGAGCTCCCGTGTTGTGCTCCTGACTGTGAAGAGGGTGGTCTCTCTGAGCTAGAAGAGTCAACAACAAGACCAGCAGAACCTGGTGAAGAAGAACCCGAAGCTGCAAGTAGACGCTTAAGTCGCACAATATCCTGCTCAGTCAGGGACACTACTGAAGGGGTCGGAATAGAAGCACAAGTCTCCGAAGAAGATATGCGCCCCTGGCGCATGTGCCGCTTCTTCAGAAAGCATTCAGACTCAGGATGACCATCCTTGTTGCAGTAGCCACAGTGAGAACGAGAGCGGCCCTCACCACTAGGAGAAGTGGGCAGGAGTGGCAGAGCACTGAACGTGAAAGAGGCGGTGTAGCAGAAGCTCGAGCAGCAAGCACAGAGGGAACCTCAAATAAACCGGCACCACGTAGGCGAGTCTCTTCAGCCCGAATCTCAGAATGCGCCTCCATAAGAGCAATACGGCCACGGGCAAACAACTGAGCGCGCCGTCGCTCAAATTCTGGACGAAGTCGAGACAAGAACTCATAGACGCGATGAAACTCCAAGTCGGCCCGCACAGCTTGGCAACACTGACAAGTACGACAACCAGCAGTGCGAAGGGAGTCAAGTTGGCGCCAAATGGCAGAACTCTGTGCGTAGAAATCATCAACAGTGGAGTCACCCTGCTGAAGAGCATGCTCCTGGCGAACCACAGATAGATACAAGGCATCACCGGATGGTTGATAGCGCTGGCAAAAACATGTCCACATTGCAAAGGCGGTAGCGAGGCCCATAAAGTCAGAGGCAAACTGAGGCAAAACAATGGAAGTGAGAACAGCTGCGGCGCGAGCATCATCATCAGACCACTGAGTGTAAGTAGTGAGAGCATCACGATAAAAGTGAAGAGACTCATGGGTCAAAACCTGTTGCTCATAAGCACGAGTTGCAGACTCGTCAGCAAGCTTAGCTGCATCCTTAGTAGGTTGAGCAGCATCCACAGCAAGAGGCGTTGGCGTCGGTGGAGTAGGAACCACAGGAGGAACTGGACGTGGCGGACAGGAGACCTCGCCAGATAAAACACCCCAGAGACGAATGCCACGCATATGAATGCGAAAGAAGGCAATGAACTCGGCGTAGTTAGTTCCATCAAAAATCAACAGGCAGCGAGGGATGACGACATACCCCGACGACGAAGACATAGTATCTTTTTTTTTACAGCTAACCCAGATCAACCACGTAGCAGTACATGAAACAAGCAACGGAGCAGATCAGACTAGGAGAGCACCACGTAGCAGATCAGATCAGCAGGCAGCAGTAGCGGACAGCAGAGAGCACCACGTAGCAGCTAGCAACACAACGTAGCAGCAGCTAGGGAACACCAGCAGGTAGCAGCCAGCAGCAGCGGTCCTTGGTGACAGTAGATTGAGGGGAGCAGCGGCGGGAGTCCTCGCGGGCGTGGGTGGACACAGGCAGAGGTTGTTGGATGGAGGCGGGTTGACCTGGAGTCCCGGCCCGATATGGATCGAGGGACTTGCGGCAGGAGTCCCCTGCTTCGAGCGAGAAGGACGAGCTTCGAGCGGCCTACTTCGAGAGAAGGACGAGCTTCGAGCGGCTCGGTTTGGAGATCGATCAGGTGGAGATCGATCGGGATGGATCAATCGCACGAGTTGCAGCGTGCAAAAAATTGACCTAGCTCTAATACCATGTTAGGAATAAGCAACTTATCTTTATTAAAGGCCCAAGGGGCATATATATATTACACATGGCTTGAGGTGTAAGGAAACTAAACATAGACTAATAAGGACTCCTAGACCAATACTAATACTCCTTAACAGTTTGATTCGAATCCAGCGGTATTCAAAGCATTTGCATTGTAGCTAAAATTCAATGGTTCGCTGGTTAACTTCTTTGTGTGCTTGCGTGCGTGCATGCTTGCTTGTGTGTGTGTAATGCTAAAGTAAATGTGCATGTAGAATAACTTATTCTACGTAGACCCCTAGTAAAAAGTGCGTAAACTATAGTAACATAGTATGCAAAATATAGTAACTTTTGGAAGAATGTAGTAAATTGCGGACTTGGATAGTGAAAAATTATTTTGGAATTACTACATTTTGTACACTGCATTACTAGATTTTGTATGAAGTGCTACTAGGGGTGTAGAATAAGCATTTTGCGCTCACGCTTAAGATAATACTACCGTAGTATGATTATTACGTCTTTGCCACCAGGCCTCTCGCTTTTGTCTAATCTGGCCTTGAGATCCATGTAGCATCTTTTAGGTTTGTCATCAATTAGTCTTTCATTTATCCAATTGCATTGGGACTAGTTCATTACCACCTGACACCTTTGTACTGCACACTACACTTATAGTTGACTGGTCATGAGTGGTAACAAAATTAGATGTTGATAGTATGTATACACGCATCCATTTTGGGGAATCTTTTTTGAGTTCATGGGGCATTTTTTTAGGGAAACTTCATCTTACTCACCAACCAGCATCTTTAGTATTATAGAAAGTTAGGAAGCTATAGCATTTTCATACATATGGGATTGAATTAGAAGGTTTACTATTCATGATCTGACATTTTTTTTTCTCGAAAACGCAAAGGACCTTTGTATTTCATTTCATGGAAAAGGTAGAACAAGCCTCCTAGGAGGTGAGGGGTTGTTCTGCCCGCAACCTGGGACGTCCATTGATAGCTTGTATGATCTGACATTTTGATACCCCTGATCTGACACATGCTCTGCTGGCAATCGTATTAGTGCGATCAATAGCATGCATCATTAACATTTAACTGAATCCCGATATACGGAAGACTATAGGATAGTGTGCACACAGATCACAAAGCATGCATAGCAACCGGGATGGCACGGGGTGGTATAGCCACCAGGGGGTAGCATTAGCATAGCAACCGAGAGGCAAAAAATCCGCCTTAATACATCCTACTATCAGGTGTAGTTACACCCATGTCTCATATACTACCATGTGATAGTATACATACTACTTTATCATTTTTATTATGTTCATATACTATATCTAAGATACTCCAAAGTGAGTTATATGAAGAAAGAAATGCAAGTGGGCCATAGGTTTTATTATATTTGTAAAATACATACATATTTGTGCGTAAAGAGGAGTATGCTCGCAATATGGTACATACTGCCAAAAAAGTAGTATATATACTACCTAAACATTCTTATATACTATACATAGTACGCTTATATATACTCCGGTATGATAGATACTACCTAGAACATACGGAACAAAAGTGGGAGTAACTACACCCGGTCATAGGAAACATTTGTCCTAAATATTATATATATAGACACACACAATAAAAGGTCTCAGACGTGTTTATTAACGGTAAATAAGTATGCAGCTTACCTCAACGTCGCATTTCATCTCCTTTGGACATGGCTTTACCATGTAGAATCTCTGCAAGCACCAGCAACTTACAATTGTTACTTACATATATGCAAGAACAACAGACTAAAGAACTGTAGTCAAACTTCATTGTTAAATCATCCAAATAACACGCTACAAATGGGTATATGAAGTTCTACTGTCTGACACTAACACCCTTGTTCTGTTTTCAAAATGTATTATTCAGTTTGCGTTGCATCATATTATGTCAAATGAATTAAACATATCAGTTATAGAAGTATTCAGGTGGCAGAGTATGCAAAATTTTCTGCACTACCTACAAACTGACAAGCAACGTCTACAACGCGAAACAAAATAGACAGGTATACCAAGAGCAAAGTACGCAGAAAAACCTTATGTTGCCATAAAGATGTGTATTAGCAGAAACATGAAATGGACAAATATTTTATGGGTGTGCTTTGGATGCTCATCGAACATGAAAAATATTTCCCTTGATCAGATATCACAGAGAAGAGGATAATAGTGAACTGACATGATATGGTACATAGAATATGTTTATACACGTATGGTTGCAGATGATAGCCTAAGCTTATTTAACATATATTTGATATGAGGAATTTAAGTTGGTACAGGAACACTTCAAGAATTGATGGCCAGGTACAATATATGTTTGCACATGAAGTACAATCTTTGATTTAAAAGAGTGAGACTGTTTAGGTTTTCTTTAGATGGGACCTTTTTAGACCGTGACCAAAGAAGATCTTTAGATGGTCAGTTTAGAAGTTACCGTACTTGTCGGAAAGGTTTTTCTGGAGCTCTCCAAAATGCCTGCAAAAGGAAGTATGACACTGAAGTTCCTGGAAGAGACCCGCAAAAAAAATCCTGGAAGAGGCTACAAATTTGAAGGATTTACAAGAGCAATTGGCATACTTGCTCAAAGTAGAGCACTCCAGAACCATCCACCATCTCAGTTGCAGGGCAAGTGAGCATTCTAGAAGAATGGAAGGCCAAGTTATACACAAGATGTTTAGGTGACAGAAGGTAGATTAGCATAGTAAGTATTTAAACTTATGCAAAGGAAGTAAGTGCAGAATAGTTGCATTAATTCAACCACGTGACATTTAATGGGATACTAATTTATTTTTATTTTCAAAATGTATTTTGGTATCACGTTTAGAAAACTATATTTCCATCCAAGGCATCTGGTAGAACTTTGAGTAAACAAGGTACCATAAGAAAAGAAGTACCCTGATATCCTCTTATGGTTTAACAGTGGTTATTTGGACCACACATAGATTGAGAATCACTTTTGAGAAAACTGTTTTTCAAGACTTCTAGGAGACCAGCTTTTAACTTGCTACTCTATTAAGATGAGTCAATAAATATGTTGTTTGCATCGAGTACAACAGAACTATTTTCTCTAGGGTTTTGCTAACGTTGTGGTTCGTTAAGATCAGAACAGAACACATTTTATCATTAGTATTGCAGCCTAGGGGTGTTATTCGACTCTTGCTCTCGGCCAAGAAAGACACAATGCTATGACAATGCTCTATAGCTGCCACTTCAAGTTATGTTAGAAATTTATCGTCGTAATGTAATATTACACAACATTTATGTGGAGTTGTGGACAGCAGCCAGAACCCGGCAACATTGCTGGATTCCCCGATCAGTTTGGCACTACCCAAGGGGAAAAAACTAAGGCAACCACCACCATAAGGTGATGAATCAAAAAATCTACAACAATGCTCAACACACATGTATTCATATAATCAACGTGAATTATACCAATACAATAGGAATGAATAACTGGTTATGCATATCCCCATTATTAGGAAAGCACAAGTTAAATTCATAACAAAGTAGCAACAAGTAACAACCCAGGAACACCTCAAGCCGCTTCCACAACTACCCAAAAGAAAGCCGCATCTTTAGATTGGCAAATAGCATCGTCCGAAGACAAGAACCCAAACCAAACCAACATCCCAACAACTAATGTGCAAACGGAATGCTTATGGGAAGCATAATTTTCACCTAAGGTTGAAATAGTTTCCAGGATCCTGCCTCGCCTGCTCCCTCGAGAACTGCACATGGAACCAATCATGTAAACCAAGAAACGTATCAAAGGCACATTATTGTTATTTTCCTTAGCTCAAAATTGCAAAATTTTAGACGAATTCTCAGGGGCAGCGGGGGCTCACCTTTTCACCGGAGAGGGCGTTGGCGACGGCGCGGGCGTGGTCCCACCGGGTGGTGGAGCGGCGCAGCCGCCGGATGAGAATAACGCCGCCGAAGACGACGAGCGCCTTCAGCAGCGCACCCCGGACTATCCCGCCGACTCCTCCACCGGTTCCTCCGGGGGTGTCCTCGCCGGAGCCCATGGGGTGTTCCACGGCGAACTCGCGAGGACCGACACGAGGTACGGAGGCGGAAGAGGATCAATCAACCAAGAAAGAGAAAGGGAAAGTATTTCTGTGGACCGCGATCTTGCGTTCATTATTTCCAGTCAAAAAAGATACTGCGTTCGTTATCTTGGGAAATCTAGGGGGGTGTTTGTTTTAAGGACTTTTTAGTCCCACCGACTAAAAAAATCTATAAAAAGTCACTAGAAACCAAATGAGGGGACTTTTTCTACATAGACTAGAAAAAAACTCTAATAGAGAGTTTTTTTTATTAGTCCCTGGGACTAGAAAAAGTCTTGAGACTTCTGAACCAAACACCCCCTAATCTTTACTAGTACTATTAAACAAGTAAACATATTCATCGCTAAATGCATCCAGCCTCATGTACACACAACGACACGAATCAATCGCAGCCGCATGATCAGGGTCACTTAATTTAATCTAACCGTTATATCATATACTAACCCCATCAAAACCGCGTTCAGCGATTTGTCCAGGCGGACGAAAACTCTATTGCAAACGCTCCATGCCGCGCATCCCGTTGGCATCCGATAAACTAGGAAACAAACACACCGTGGAGAATAAATTAGGCGTTTAAAAAAGAGAAAGTACCATTCATGCGGAGGAGCAATGGATGGAAGCTTACCACGCGAGAGAACAGGGTCGCATGCATCACGTATTCAGGTAGTTATTGTTTTCGCTAATCAAGGTAGAAAACCAAGAAAATAAAGCAAAACAATTTTGGATATTCTTCCCAAAAATCCTTCCAAAAAAATCTGCAAACACGACGCCTTGATACAAACAAAGGCGTGGCCCAGCATCTCTTCACGTCGCTCGCCGGCGCAGCGAACGTGCTCGCCGCCGACGTCCACGCTGCCATGTGCGGGAGCACGGACCGCTTGGGCTACTGGCACGCCTTCATGGGATTCCACGGTCGACATCGTCAAAAGCGATCTCTTCATCCAATCGGACAAGAACCTCCCGCGACTCCGCCGCCGTTGAGGGGGTCTTCAAGCTCCTCGGCCATGCGTGCGATGTCTTCTCCTCCGGCCCCTGCGCCGCCGTCGCCGTCTCCGATCGTGCAAGATTGGTCGCACCACCCGGCGAAAAGAAGAGTAGGTCTCGGGCGGCGCGCATGCAGTGGAACCTGGATGGTCACACGAACTCAGATCACCGCCAGAATCACCATAAACGTACGTGAGTACGGCTCCTTCGAGGGCACGCAGAATTTTTCCTCGAGGGTAGGAAGCTCGCCAGGTCAGCCATGCGGCATGCCCGCATCGTCGATGTCGTCAAGACAGATACAACACCTTCAGGCTGTACTCTTCCTCTTCATCTTCTTCACCTTCATTGCACTGGAATCTCATGTGTCCCCAGCGGCCCCGCCTCCATGTCTGATGAGAAGAATCTTTACAATATGCATGCATCTTGTCAACTCAATCCCCTCTTATATTATTTAAGTCTCAGACAGATAGCCACGTTTGAGGCAGGAACTGCAATTACTTTAACTAGTGGGATCTATTATGTGAGGGAACGGACATGCCATAGGGCACAGGTGAGTCTCCTGGTTGCTCTTTGTATTTCTATTCTTATTTTTCTGTTGGTTCTAATCTTCTTGATACTTTACGCATGACAGTACCTGCATCTTTGTGCTACTACTATCTATTGGCACCATGTCTGACATTTGCTGTCTTTTTGCACATCAGGTTTCTGTGTTTTGTGTTTTTTGTGGAAACTGCTATGACCAATAGAAGGTAATAAAGTGTTTTAGGGAGAGTGATGTGCTACTATAAAGTTGCATAGGAGCATAGGCTATGTAAGTGGGATTGATACTCTGGTATTTTGTTAGTTGGTATGGCAGCCTTGATACTCCATATAATTTTTTCTTTTACAAAACATAAACAACAGTGACTATATTTTCATTTCAATTTGAAATTGCAGCAATATAATCTGAACTGAACTATGTTTTCATTTCAGTCGCAGTTAAAGCTATGGAAGTAGTTTCGCAACCCTTCAAACTCGAGTGTTTCTCCTGATAGCTGCCCACCTGGTAGAGGCAACTCTTTTTATGAATTTCTTGTCATGGGCAAAATGAGTTGAATTTCTTGGGTTCAAGGTTTTTTTTTCTTCCTCCTAATAGCTGCCCACTTGCTGGTAGAGGTAACTCTTTTTGTTGTATCCATCCTCTGCTCATATATGTGCAGTGTGGGAGGGAGGGAGAGGGAGAAGTTCATCGAGTAGGCACACCTTTCTAAGACTTGCACGTTGTGAAATACTACCTCCGTCCCATGTTAGTTGTCGTACAAACGAATGTATCTAGCGACATACGTCGGCGACAACTAATATGGGACAGAGGGAGTATAACCCACCTGTGTGGGTGACCTTTTGAGGAAGGGAGAGGTAGAGAAGTCTATAGTGACACAATTGAAAAGATCAAGAACACATTGCCGTGAAGAGCATGTTGTGCAATATAACAAATAGTACGGAGTTATGTGTTTGGAGTTCTTAGGGGGTGAGGGGGGGAGGGGGTTGGAAGGGGGGGTGAGCTGGATGCACAATTGTCAGCAGTGACAAGCTTAGATTGGGGATGTGAAGAGGTGCATATGCATGATACATTCCAAATCACCGGCAGATACCTTGATTTGTTACAAGTGTGAGTAATCTCATTTGAATATATTGCGATCCATTCCATAGATTTGTACTCACTTTATTGTTCGGCATAGTTGAATTGTCTGTGTCCAAAATGCATATAATTTTATTTTGTACGCTTACACTAGATGCCACCACACAATAACAACCTATAATAACCGGCTCTTTTAGAATTATAAATGGAAGTACATACCGATTTTAGCTTCTAGGCAAATGTTTGTAGATTCCCCTTTAATCTGAATCACATGAAGTGGAGAGTTCACCAGAGTCCGTGGAAGAAATCTACATGCCATTATGAGGAAACAGGGAACAACCCGATATGCGACACCGAAGAGTGTAAATTGTAGTTTTATTTTCTTCTTCAAACATGTCCTTTTTTGGGACCAATTTAGGTTGTATACTGAAATCATGTTCTCTATACTATAATCATGTTGTTCTAACAAAAATCGACCTAGAATTAGCTTGTCCAATGACTCGATATGTTTAACAATGGGAGTTTGGAGGATTAGTTAGTAGATTTAAGCCAAGTGAGTCAATATGATTAAAATGGGGGTCTGGAAGATTAATTAGTAGATTTTCATCGTTTGTAACCTATAGAGACTGAATGAATGAAACAATATATTATTATTTAATGCGGCAATGTGACCACCATGGTGTTCTCAGACGTGCGTTGCACGTGCAAGCTTATTAGTGAGTGTATATAAATAATTCTGTCCAGAACTAAAATGACTTGTTTTTTTGCGTAGGGGACTTTCGTCTTAAATGGGAGTATCATATCTTTATCTTTACCTACTAATAAAGCACACATTGCTTTTGTTTTGTTCACCGTCGCGAACTTTTTGCAAAGAAGTCCTTGTGGTTTCTGATAATTAAACCCGCAGTCCCTATTTGAAGTGGCTACTCTGAAATAACGTTTTGTTTTTGTAGAAAGGACCTTGTAGTTTGGTATATTCAATCCACGGCCCTTTTCAAAGTGGCTAATTCAAAATACGCACGGGCTCCTTCGTGCTCTCCTCGATCTGTACCGGCATGGCGCCGCCGCCGCTCGCCCGTCTTCTTCTACGGCCATCTGCCCCTAATCTTCTCCGGCGCTGCTGGCGATCTCCTCAATCTCCAATCTCCTGCTCTCATGTCGTGCTCCTTCGATGTGTACTCTCTGATTTGGATCGAAGTTGGGGGGAGGGACAGCGGGCTGTTCTAGCGGCGGGCAACGAGAGAAGAAGGGGACACGGTGGGGGAGGATCTCGCCCTGGTGGAGGTGCGCCGGATCCGCCAGTCCATCCCCCTCTTCCCATCCGCCCCCGACCTCCAGTGAAAACGTTGGAGAGGGTGGAGGCGCGCAGGTGTTGCTCGGCTGCCACTTGGCCGGAATTAATGGAGATGGGGGAGGATGGTGGGCATGTGGAATGGGGCGGCGCTGTGCAACATAGGGCAGGATGATGCAGAGCATCCTTCCATCATCCCCATGGACTCTACACCAACACATCAAGCACCACATGGACCCATGACAAGAGCTAGAGCACGTGCAATGGAAACCGAGGTGAACTCCTTCCTAGTTGACATGCATATGGATACAAGTGGAACTTGGTTGCTACCTCACCAAAATACTCTATGCCTCATTAGGTACGAAGAGGAACCCTTCCAAGCAGCTAAGGAGCACCAACAAGTCCAAGGAGAAGCGACGCAAGTCACCAAGGAAGAAGAACAAGCCAAACAGCAGCTGGACAGGAAGTCCTAGGCGACCCCGTGCGCACGGGCCCAGACCTCGTGCCCACGGACTATACAGGGAGCTACGGCTGTAGCACCCCGTGTGCACGGGAGTGTACCGTGCACACGAGAGCCCCGTGCGCACGGGCCCAACTTACCCCGTGCGCACGGGCCCTACAGGATGAGCGGTTGAGATGGCGTTTTGGACCTCCCCTTCTTCCACTTCGACCCCAAGCCTATATATTCCGTACCTAGGATTATGTTTAGGGTTAGCAAAGACATAGATGAGAATTTGAGAGCTTTGCTCCTTCTACCACCTCCATTGGAGATCAAGGCCTCTTTGGAGAGGATCCACTTGTGGATTTCAAGACCTCCATCTTGGAGAAGACTACCATCCTCAAGACCTCATCTCCTAGGAGTGGGAAGAACTTTACCATTGTATCTTTCCTTTGATTGTGTTTGTGAACTTGTGGATCTTGTGTTGCTATTCTAGTAGATGTGTACCTTGGTGTTGTTGGAGTGATTTCCTCCTGGTGTTCTTGGTGTTCTTCCTCTTTTCCCCCTCCAAGTGTGAAAAGATCCATCTTAGGGTTTCACCCTACAACATCTTGGTATCATGAGCA